GGTTTACCTATTAAAGATGGTGATTTTCCATAGTTATGTTAGTGACTTCAAAAACACCGCATCGCAATGCATCGCAGTCGCTGATCCGGGTCTGCACAACTGCGCCAGGCTGCTTTGCAGCGCTTGGTGAAACAACGCATCACTCCCCGTCGACTTCCACCAGTTCGTCCTGGAAATGTGCAGAATGTAACTGGTTGGAGCCACCCCTCTGAAAAATATGAAAGTCAGTTGGGATGAGAAAATTCCCAATATATATATATATGGAAAAAATGAAAGTCATGTTCCAAACCACCAACATTCTCATGCATATCACGTTCCAACCGTCCAAGAAAAGGTATCTGCAAGATGCTGTGGTGTGTGTGTGTGAGAGGGGGTACGATGGATGGAAGACGGCACTTGTAAGCTTTGTACACCGTAAGCTTTGCATGTGAGCAAGGAGCATGGAGAAAGCAGGAGAGAGATGCTTTGCCCCAAAGAAAAATGTCTGAGCAAGTGGGGCAAAGAAAGGCAACCTGCGGTATTCATGAATGGTCGGGCATGCCAAGCACCATCGCACCATCCTCCTGTCCCTTGACCGCTTGGAAGGGTCCTGTCCACCACGCTTGGTAGGCATTGCAATCTTTGTCTGCATGATGCCCATGAAGTTCCAGGTAAAGTCTTCAAATTCCATCCAGAAGGCCTTAGTAAAAACACCCCGGTTGTTTCCAAGGATTTTCCGACAGCTGTTGTACCTTCCAAAGATGCCCTGTGGCGATTGTGGTTTCAAAAAGTTGTAGTAGATCTTGCTGATACCATCATTTGGGTTGACTACTCATCCCATCAGATAAAAAATCGCAAGTTTCACGCTGAAAAATGGGTTAAGGTCCTCAGGTTTTGTGTTGGTTGAATGACCAGAAAAGCACTCTAAATTGGCCCCATAAATTCCGCTGATTCCTGAAGCTGGCTGAAGAAACACCAAAACATGCCATTGCAAAGAGAAGTGTACGCCATCCGACTTCAAATCCACTTGCAGTGCTTTGGCAACGTCAGGGTTGGCTTTCCATTCCTCTCCCTTATCCTTGCAGCACGGGCTCAGCACAACAGGAAAACTTTTACATGAAGTGCTCGCTTTACTTTGGTTTTTTTGTGTGTCTGTCTGTCTGCCTGCCTGCGTCCCTGTCTGTCAATTTATGTATGTATGTATACGTACGTATGTATGTACCTATGTACGTATGTGTCTATATGATATGTGTGTATGTGTGTATGTATGCATGAATGGAGAATGGATGCATGCATGCATGATGCATGCATGCGTGCATTTGTGCATGTATCCATGCCATGCATCCATGCATCCAGTCATACGTGTATGCATGTTGTATGCGTGTTGTATGCATTGTGTATGCATCATGCATGTTGTATGCGTCTATGTAATGCATCTATGTAATGCATGTATGTAATGCATGTATGTAATGCATGTATGTAATGCATGTGTAATGCATGAGTAGTGCATGTATGTAATGCAATGCACTGTAATACAATGTAACGTAGCATAACACAACGTAGTGTAACGTAGATTACCGTAACGTGAGGTAATGTGTTGTGTTGTATTGCATTGCATTGCACTGAATCTGTTTCTATGTATTTGTGTGTGTGTGTGTCTGTCTGTCTGTCCGTCTGTCTAGCTAATTACCTGCCTATCTATCTACCTATGTATTCATCCATTCATCCGTCCATCTATCCATCCGTCCATCCATCCATCCATAGATCTGTCGATCCATTGATCTATCTATCTACACATCTGCCTTCAAGTATCTACATATCTACGGATCTACCGATCTATCTACCTATGTACCTGTCTACCTACCCAGCTATCCATCCATCTTCCTATCCATCTATCTACCTATCTGTCCATATATCCATATATCCAATATATCCAAAAATCCACATACTGTGTATGTATATATATATATATTAATGTTTCCGTCTATCTGTCTGTATGTCTGTCTGTCTATCTGTCTATCTATGCATCTATACAATTCTATACATCTATAAAATGTATAGTCAAAACATGGTCAAAACCTGCACAACGGCCCATCACAAAAGTGCTTAAAACGGCGTTGGTCCATTCCCCCAAACTCCAGCAGATCTTCACTGCAACGGTTTTGATCCAAGCATCATTCCATGGACCCTGCCATTCAAAGCAGCCCCATGGATTTCTCAGGCAGACCAAACGGCGACCGCACGCTTCTTTGGCATGCCTCAATGCGTCGTAAGACGCTGGCAAAGCACTTAAAAATCTATAAAAATCTATAAAAATCTATGGATCATGTGGATCATATGGATCATATGGCTCTGTTGGCTGTGCCTAAAAAAAATGGGGTTGATGTACCCCACATACCAACATACCATGCTCCATGTTCCATGGCCAGCTGGGGGGATTTTCCAGCCATGAAAGACACCATCTGAAAATGTGATTGCCCTGGATCACCTACGCAAAACCACATAAAACCACCACAAAAATCATGGGACTTCTTCCCATATCAATCCTCCAAATCCACCACAAAAATCGAGCTTTTAGAAGTCTATCTCCATCCAATAAGTTCAACCTGGAGGTGTCAGGGGATTGGATTTACGGGGGTGAAAAATCTGCCCATGTCACGCACTACACACAAGGCTTCCGCCTGTCAAAAGCGTGTCTGAAACCATTGCTGTAAAGAGATATATAGATTTGTCAAATTTTGTCAATGAGGTATCCCAAATTAACATGGTACTGTATGTCATGATGTTATCCATTCAATTTGCAGTTTTGGGGCAACAACCAGTGCGGTAAGATGCTGCTTGAGTTTCTGACACAGATTGATCCAGGGTTGAACACTTGATGTGGAAATTCCGCGCAGGCAAACGCTTTGAGTTTGGGATCCATGATTAATGGTTAAGTGTCATATGATAGGCTTGAAAATACTGGAAATGACAAGAATGAACCAGCAAAATATATTCAAATAGAATAATTATCTTACCAGAAGCTTGGTTCGGACTTGATGAAGATACTGTATATTTCAAGTATGATTCAAGAATTTGGGAGACCTGAGGACAAAGATCGAAAAGAGGCTCTTCGTGATGGAATTTTTAAAAAAAAAATGCAGGTATCATTGTGATTGCTAATCACAATTTTCTCCATTAAACACTGCCAATTTGTTGGGAATTACCTCATTTCCAGACCCAAATCACATGGTTGTAAATACTCTATGTGTGCATATATATATATATCCATTGTGTCCCCATAACTATTATATTGTTGGTTATATCCCAGTCAAAAAGAAACGTTTGTGGGTTTCATATCCCCCGGGATGATGAAGTGAATAACCACGTACATAACTTGACCAAAACCATAGCACACATGTATTTGTTTCAAAAAGCTACTACGAATCGTAGAATGAATGTAGAATGAATATCTTTTGTTCAGCTATATCTTGTATCCAGCTTAATCCGGTTACCTCGCGACTTGGAAATCACCCGAGTCCTGACGTGCCAGAGTGCAGGAAGGAGTACGCATGGTTTGGTACCAGCCCATCCTTTGTTCAGCCATGCGAACTCAGCGGTTGAATGTTGCGAAGAGGCCACAACCATTGCCGAGTAGCGTAAAATGTGGCAAAAGTACTATACCAACCGAAATTTGTCATGGAAGAGATATGTATATAATATACATCGATGTACATTAAAAAAAAATACTTCACTTCGAATGATCCCCACCATGGCATTTATACATTTTCTTACTGGCAAATCTTCTGGCATTCTATCTGACATATCTTCTGGCATTCTATCTGGCATATCTTCTCGCATATGTTCTGGCATATCTTCTGGCATATCTTCTGGCATTCTATCTGGCAAATCTTCTGGCATTCTATCTGGCATTCTATCTGGCATATCTTCTGGCATTCTATATGGCAGATCTTCTGGCATTATATCTGGCATATCTTCTGGCATTCTATCTGGCAAATCTTCTGGCATTCTATCTGGCATATCTTCTGGCATTCTATCTGACATATCTTCTGGCATTCTATCTGGCATATCTTTCTGGCATATATTCTGACATATCTTCTGGCATTCTATCTGGCATATCTTCTGGCATTTCTTCTGGCATATCTATCTGGCATATCTTCTGGCATATTTTCTGGCATTCTATCTTCTGGCATTCTATCTGGCAAATCTTCTGGCATTCTATCTGGCATATCTTCTGGCATTCTATCTGGCCGTTGAGGTCCGGCAGTGCCCACTGGGATCTGGAAGTCACGGTTGAGGCCCGGCAGTGCCCACTGCGATCTGGAAGTAGCGGTTGAGGCCCGGCAGTGCCCACTGCGATCTGGAAGTCGCGGTTGAGGTCCGGCAGTGCCCACTGATCTGGAGCTCGCGGTGGAGGTCCGGCAGTGCCCACTGGGATGTGCCCACTGGGATCTGGAGCTCGCGGTGGAGGCCCGGCTGTGCCAACTGGGATCTGGACTGCGAGGAGGAGGACGAGGAGGAGATGGAGGAGGAGGCGGAGGAGGAGGAGAACAGCTCTGATAAAAATCTAACAACCCTCACCTGGCAGGTGGGGGAAAAAAACATTCAAAATTTCTAAAAAAAACATTGAAACCACTCCCAGTATCCCGGTTGGCTTGTTCTTCTGAGCGATTCCTTGGTGTATCCGCAAAACGCCGAAGAAACGCCATATCCAACAAGTTCAATCCATTCTCCGCTTCAGAATGCTTCATCACTGATATCAGAATTCACTATAAGTATATGAACATATTTGGAAATGGGGGGTGCCTCCAAATAGATGGTTTATTTCATGGAAAATCCGATCAAAATGGCTGATTTCGGGGTACCCCCATTTCAGGAAGCCTCCATTTCATGAAGTGGGAAACATTCCAAGAGCGAACACGACTTTTCCATCAAGCCTCTCAATCTCAGCGACTGTAGTGGAGAGAGGAAAGTTCTCCAAATCCATCTGCAGAAGTTTCTGCCATATCTTCTCATCATCAGATTGTTCTTTCTCATCGTCAGATTTTTTTGATGTTGGGTACACCTCATTGTATCAGCAAATGAGAAACTGGTCTGACAGGAAAACATCGACGCTGTCTACAGTTGGCACAGCTGAAAGGGCAACGCATACCAGGGAATATCAACTTAACAACGATGAAAACACATCAGTACGCTTCGCTGCTACTTATGAACTCGAACTTTGTAAAACCGAAATGGTTTTGTCTGAAAATCGCGTAATTAATGGTACTAATGGCGATAGACATTGGGTATACCCGAATTCTCCAAAAAAATGACAACTAAGGGAGTTTAATCCTCCATTTCTGCACAAAAATCGCCCTATTTCGATATCTTTCGTATTTCGCATGAATATCTTACTAGCCATAAAAACTAGGTCACCCCCCTTTGAAATGGACAAAGACAAATCATGACAAATCCTTGGTTTTCGGCTGTGGAACGTGCCAGGGGAATGTGGTGATCCTCGCTGCCACACGCTGTCCTTTGACGTAGTATGGCAGCCAGCCCTCATCGGGGCCTTCACCCGAGATTTTGGTGAACCTCGTGCTCCAGATGGCAATGCTGCGACATTAAGTGTGGTAACAACAACATGACACGTGTTTTTTAACGGTTTAAGTTTAAGATGCTTTAAGCATCTGTTTAAAGATGTTTCAAGACACAAAGGGTCCATAAGAATCTGTTTGCTTTAACAAAGAAATTTGGGGAGCAGACTTGTGAGCGCGAGATTAGACAGCAACTGCAGTTTTCGAAGCACATGAGGGCTGCTTATGTTTGCCGTGAAACTTCACGTGGTAGCGATTTCTTTCAGCTTCTTTGAAGACAGCTTCCTTCCTGAGTGAATTTCTGTGCATCATCTGCCTCATCTATCATGCCAATCGATGATGAGATGCGTTTTTTGGGCATGTGTTCATAAAAATGCAGAACAAATTGGGGGTTTATGATCAAAAATTTGTCATTTAATTGGGAGATACGTATATAATATGAATCTGGAAACTAATCAATAAATATCCAATGGATCAATATATAAATCCAGATTGAATATATAATCATACTAATATGATATACTAATTAATAGGGATATACGTATATGAATGGGATTCTGCAAATTTCAACTGCAGAAATCTCGCAACAACCTGTGACTTCACAAACTTCGAGTTTCCCCAAGCAGCCCAAGTTTTGCCCTCCTGGCTCATCCACCACGTCAATATCCACCAATGCCTTCCATTCCGGGACTGGCGTACCATGAGGTGCTCCATGGTAGATGTGTTCTTGGCAACCTGACAGCTGTCACTTGGTGTGGTTCGTCCCAGTATATTAGCTCACCCCAGCTATAACCGGACAAATCGTGCAGAAACCATACTGAATTCACTCCTATATCCTAGGGTAGATAAGCAAGTAGATATGTTACGATGCTCGCAAATTGCATATGCACACGTACATGCATTTATATGTACAATAAATAGGCGAAAATATGATCCCAAAGGTGCACCCTTGGAAGACTCTGCACAAAATGGAAGCAAGTGGATTCATTAATACATACTGTATTAATATGAATACATGTGTGTATATATATAATGTGTGTTTGCCCAAACACACGTGACTACATGCACATTAAACATTTGAACATTTCAGCCTCTCCCTCTCATTCCGTCCACACTGATCGTCTGCACTAGGCCTTCCTTTTGGATGATTTGCTGCCTGTCGGTCGCACCCAGAACAGCCTGTTGATGCTGTTTCGGTCAAATCCAACCCATAGTAGTGCGACTCGTGGCGGCCATATTTTCGCACTGTGCAGCAAAGAAATACTCGTCACATCCAAAAGGCAATGAGTGCAGGGGGGTCTGTGTGGGAGGATGGTCAGCATCAGCTTTCCCACCTTGGAGTCGCTGTGCGGGCAGATTCAATGTGAGGCGCTAGAGGACTGTTGGGACTGTGGCAGATCTTGTGTGGTCTTCCAGAAATTCGCGTTGGGTTCTGCTACTCCAGCGACGTCATGTCGATGCGGCTCCCCGCTCACAAACTAGAGCAGGTGGTGACCTCAGGATTCCCACTATCAGGTAGCCACAGGGATGATGCGGCTGTGGCTGCAATGCCCATATTCAGTTGGCTAGACCCATGTTTTGGTCACTCTGCCTCGTGATGCGACGTTGCGTGGCCAATGAGCACCCAAAGGCCACCATGTTCAGTCTCTCAGCCCTTCCGGATGTGCCTGGGTTGAGCATCGCAGTGACTTGAATGGGTTGTCAGGGACCACAAATGGGCAATGCAACCCAACATATTCGACTTGGCACAGTTGGGAACAAGTGTTGATAAATTGATTGGCATTTCTTTCCAAAGAAGCAAAAGTGGCAGTTGTGGTCCGACTGCTTGATGGATCACAAACCAACCGTAAACCAAGGGGGGAAACCAACACATGCCATCTGACATATGACACGTACCGGTGGGCTAATACAAGGTCTGTAACACTTCGAAGCCTCCGTGAACCCCGCAGTGGTGTCGATCAATTTCTGTGCGCACCGCGAAGGGCCCTAGGTGCCCCACCTGGCCCATCTGGGGAAGGTTCCTGCGAGTTGAAACGTTTGACACTCTGTAATCAAGGGCACTAGTGTTGGTTTGGCTGCAACATGAAGGGCATGTAGACGGTTACGACGTGTAGTCGGTGTTGACCACTGCCTAATGTGAAACTACGTGGGAGGACCAGTGTTTGGCACTGTCCACCACGTGTTCGTATGAATGGCCTTGGGTTCCCACCTGGCTCGGCTGGGACACCATATCCTGTGGCGTCAGTGTCACGTCAACTCGATGTCTGCTGGTTTCATATGACACTGAATACGCAGAAATCAGGTCCCTCACCTGATGCACCAGCCATTTGTGACAGGATGGTGAGGGCCTACTCACTGCATCAACGGTGCCATGGCCATTATGAGTGAGATGCCCTGGGTTCCCCACCTGGCTCGGCTGGGAAACATGTCCTGAGGGAGGGGAAACAGAGAAACGTAAAGGACTAGCAACTACTTTAGTGAAGACATGAAATGCACAGGGTTCCCCACCTGGCTCGGCTGGGAAACCTTCCTGGCGCAAGCGAGACTCAGAAACCTATGAAACCAATATTATGCACTAGTCAGTTGTGACTGGATGGTTGCCCACAGGTCAGGCACTGTGCAGGGTTGTCACTGCTATTCGAGTGAAGCTCAAGAGTCCCCACCTGGCTCGGCTGGGAAACGGTGCCTGTCAGGTAGATCACGTGGCTGTGTGTCTGAGTAAGACACTTATTCATCAGACCCCTGTGTGAGATCCCCAATCATTAGAGACACAATTTTGGAGGTCAGTGATGTGTTCTGTGGTGTCTTCCCGAGGATGGGCCCTCACTGCCGGCATCTGGCAATTTCCACAGGATGACAAACAAGAAAACCCTGTGTCCCCACCTGGCTCGGCTGGGTGACGTCACTATCCCGGACGGGCATGGCTAGGAAATGCAGAAACCGACTTAAACGTCCGATCCGTTTCTTAACTTGACCACTGCTGCATCAATCTCATCGAAGGATTTGGCCAGGGCCCCCAGGATCCCCATTGACAAGATGCCTCGCGCCTGCAAGTACTGCACCACGGAGTGATCCACACCAGCCTCAGCAGCCAGCTTCTGGAGTTCAGGGCTGACAGGTGGCATGGCTCACCACAGTGTCCGGCAGGGACAACTTAGAATTTCTGAGCCAGACGCTGGGCGTGCGTCGCTGGACATTAACCTGAAGGTGGCGCCGTCTGGACTGGCTGCTCTGAGGTCCTGGAACTCTCCAACATGTGGGCGATGTTCTTGAGGAGGTCGGCGGGGTCTTGGGGCCCCATGTGGACGAATGGCCGATCTGTCTCTCCTTTCGAATCTGTGAGGTTCAGCAGCTCCACCATGTTGTGGTAAGGGCACAGCCGCTGTCCCATGATTGGGCATCTGCACCCCAAGGACACGTCAACGGTGGTTGCCTGTGTCTCCGGCGGTCCAGTGGGGAGTGTCCAGGTCACTACGTTCCGAGAGCCATCGGGCTGTATGTGTGACCGAGAAGTGGCCCACAGTTCATCGGTGGTCGTGAGAAACTGACTGCCCACTATACAAGCATGTGGTATGTGGCGCGGCGATCACGCGTCCATGACTGGATGTTGGTCGTGTCCACAGCGGAGATGTCGCAAGTGTCCAGCTGGCTGGCCACTCTCCCCTTCTGTGGTCCGTGAATGGCTGCCAGAAACGCAACCAGGTCTCAAGGTGGTGCAATGGGTGCGGCTCCTCTGTGTGAGACAGCCCCGCTGTCCGTAGCTGTGATGGCGTTTTGTGGCGTTGCGCCATCCTGCTGTTGGAGACTGTCCTGAAGACGCGCCAGACCTCGGGCGGCATGCCAGTCTCCAAAACCACTGAGGGATGTTGAAGGAGTGTGGGTGGGTCTGTCAGGTCTTTCTCCACCTTCGGCATTCGGCATCGAGTCTTCTCATGTTCCTACGCACAATACTTGTGCTACAAATATGACTTTGCACGCACATGTGTACATGTCTATCCTCGCGTTCAAATGAACGGTGCACTTCTGTAAGCCAATGCGATGAACCCTTTTTTGTTGGATCGGGGTATATCCTTTGGTTAACCAGACAATGGTTGGTACCATGTAGTACCATAGTGAATCATCTCCAAAGTTGCCATTTGGAGAACATTTTTCAAACCATGCAGGGGTCGACGATTTTGTATCCCACATTCCACTGCAACTCTGTAGCCTGTCATCATCTCGAAGCCAATCGTGGGAACGCCGCCGTCCAAAGCCTCGAACTTATCGGTGAAGCCCCGAGAAACCACAATAGTTTGAGGCACCCTCCAGCAATCAAACATGGCAATTGGAAATCCCCAAGCTAAATGGAGATTTTAATGAAAAAAAGGGCTAGGTACACTTTTGAAAAGTCTCGACATGGCAAGTATCAATGACGCTTGGTACACTTTTTGGCAAAGGCTAGACATGGCAAGTATCAATGACGCAAGGTACACTTTTTAGCAAAGTCTAGACATGGCAAGTATCAAGGACAGTAGGTACACTTTTTGGCAAAGGCTGAACATGGCAAGTATCAATGACGGCAGGTACACTTTTTAGCAAAGTCTAGACATGGCAAGTATCAAGGACAGTAGGTACACTTTTTGGCAAAGTCTAGACATGGCAAGTATCAAGGACAGTAGGTACACTTTTTGGCAAAGGCTGAACATGGAAAGTATCAATGACGGCAGGTACACTTTTTAGCAAAGTCTAGACATGGCAAGTATCAAGGACAGTAGGTACACTTTTTGGCAAAGTCTAGACATGGCAAGTATCAAGGACAGTAGGTACACTTTTTGGCAAAGGCTGAACATGGCAAGTATCAATGACGGCAGGTACACTTTTTAGCAAAGTCTAGACATGGCAAGTATCAAGGACAGTAGGTACACTTTTTGGCAAAGTCTAGACATGGCAAGTATCAAGGACAGTAGGTACACTTTTTGGCAAAGGCTGAACATGGCAAGTATCAATGACGGCAGGTACACTTTTTGACAAAGTCTAGACATGGCAAGTATCAATGACGGTAGGTACACTTTTTGACAGTCTAGACATGGCAAGTATCAATGACGGTAGGTACACTTTTCGGCAAAGGCCAGACATGGCAAGTATCAATGACGCTAGGTACATTTTTTGGCAAAGGCTAAACATGGCAAGTATCAATGACGCTAGGTACACTTTTTGGCAAAAGTCTAGGCATGGCAAGTATCAATGACGCAAGGTACACTTTTTGCAAAGGCCAGACATGGCAAGTATCAATGCCGCTAGGTACATTTTTTGGCAAAGGCTAAACATGGCAAGTATCAATGACGCTAGGTACACTTTTTGGCAAAAGTCTAGGCATGGCAAGTATCAATGACGCAAGGTACACTTTTTGGCAAAGGCTAAACATGGCAAGTATCAATAACGCTAGGTACAGTTTTTGGCAAAAGTCTAGGCATGGCAAGTATCAATGACGCAAGGTACACTTTTTGCAAAGGCCAGACATGGCAAGTATCAATGACGCTAGGTACATTTTTTGGCAAAGGCTAAACATGGCAAGTATCAATGACGCTAGGTGCAGTTTTTGGCAAAAGTCTAGGCATGGCAAGTATCAATGACGCAAGGTACATTTTTTGGCAAAAGTCTAGACATGGCAAGTATCAATGACGCAAGGTACACTTTTTGCAAAGGCCAGACATGGCAAGTATCAATGACGCTAGGTACATTTTTTGGCAAAGGCTAAACATGGCAAGTATCAATGACGCTAGGTACAGTTTTTGGCAAAAGTCTAGGCATGGCAAGTATCAATGACGCAAGGTACACTTTTTGCAAAGTCTAGACATGGCAAGTATCAATGACGCTAGGTACACTTTTTGGCAAAAGTCTAGGCATGGCAAGTATCAATGACGCAAGGTACACTTTTTGCAAAGTCTAGACATGGCAAGTATCAATGACGCTAGGTACTTTTTTGGCAAAGGCTAAACATGGCAAGTATCAATGACGCTAGGTACAGTTTTTGGCAAAGGCTAAACATGGCAAGTATCAATGACGCTAGGTACATTTTTTGGCAAAGGCTAAACATGGCAAGTATCAATGACGCTAGGTACACTTTTTGGCAAAAGGCCAGACATGGCAAGTATCAATGACGCTAGGTACATTTTTTGGCAAAGGCTAAACATGGCAAGTATCAATAACGCTAGGTACAGTTTTTGGCAAAAGTCTAGGCATGGCAAGTATCAATGACGCAAGGTACACTTTTTGCAAGTCTAGACATGGCAAGTATCAATGACGCTAGGTACAGTTTTTGGCAAAAGTCTAGGCATGGCAAGTATCAATGACGCTAGGTACATTTTTTGGCAAAGGCTAAACATGGCAAGTATCAATGACGCTAGGTACAGTTTTTGGCAAAAGTCTAGGCATGGCAAGTATCAATGACGCAAGGTACACTTTTTGCAAAGTCTAGGCATGGCAAGTATCAATGACGCTAGGTACTTTTTTGGCAAAGGCTAAACATGGCAAGTATCAATGACGCTAGGTACAGTTTTTGGCAAAGGCTAAACATGGCAAGTATCAATGACGCTAGGTACAGTTTTTGGCAAAGGCTAAACATGGCAAGTATCAATGACGCTAGGTACACTTTTTGGCAAAAGGCCAGACATGGCAAGTATCAATGACGCTAGGTACATTTTTTGGCAAAGGCTAAACATGGCAAGTATCAATAACGCTAGGTACAGTTTTTGGCAAAAGTCTAGGCATGGCAAGTATCAATGACGCAAGGTACACTTTTTGCAAAGTCTAGACATGGCAAGTATCAATGACGCTAGGTACAGTTTTTGGCAAAAGTCTAGGCATGGCAAGTATCAATGACGCTAGGTACATTTTTTGGCAAAGGCTAAACATGGCAAGTATCAATGACGCTAGGTACAGTTTTTGGCAAAAGTCTAGGCATGGCAAGTATCAATGACGCAAGGTACACTTTTTGCAAAGGCTAAACATGGCAAGTATCAATGACGCTAGGTACAGTTTTTGGCAAAAGTCTAGGCATGGCAAGTATCAATGACGCTAGGTACATTTTTTGGCAAAGGCTAAACATGGCAAGTATCAATGACGCTAGGTGCAGTTTTTGGCAAAAGTCTAGGCATGGCAAGTATCAATGACGCAAGGTACACTTTTTGCAAAGTCTAGACATGGCAAGTTTGAGGTCCCTTGCAAAAAAATCAGATCCAACACTGGAAAACAAAAAAAATCGCAGTTTGAGCACGCTTGAAAACCTTTCGACAATGGATTTCCTGGTTTTCCCAGGTTTTCCCACGGCCCAGGGGCATGGTAACCTCCCATAGGCTTGGCGATGGCTTTTTCGAGCAGCGCTGCCCACATCTTACCCGAAGGCAGTTTGGCATACATCGTTGAAGCCGTCTCTGGCTCCTGGCGTGAAATCCACATGGTGACATACAGAATCAAACATGGCTGGAACCATAAAATGGAGGTTTTAATATGTTTTAATAGGAAATTCATCCAAAATTTCATCCATAGATGGAGGATTTTCCAAGCCACGTTGCCACGTTTCATTCCGGTGAATAAACTCACGATCGAAAAAGAGGCGATCAATCATAAGTCCTCCAGTGAACCTGCCATACATGGCAGGTAGTCATCAATGGTGATGACTTTCCACTCGCCGGATCTCCAATCGAAAAGCTTGAACTCATACTTGCCATCCTCCTGGCAGAATCTGCCGACATACTCCGACATGGACTTTGAGGAAAATCGGAAAAATCAAACACACAAAATCTGATGAGTCTTCAAGTGAAAATAATATAACATGCCTCTGCCTATCTATAATATATTACACATTATATGATTGTACTCAGATTGTACTCTTTGGGGCTACAAATTTCTTCGACCCATGGATTTTCCCGATTGATCCAGGGGGCATATGGTTTCAATATGTTTCAATGTTCCCCCGGTCAAACAATGTGTTCGAAGGACGAAAAGAACATCCAAAATATGAAGAAAGGGAACAGTTGAACATACTGTTGGCATATTAAATCCAATGTAATTGTCATATGTGCCATGGTCAAAGCATGTACGGTATGGCCATGACATCATTGGGATTCATTTTGATAGGTATAATAACCATTGATAGCCCATTTCAGAAATGTCATTTGACCGTGGCACACGTGCAGTTGGTAGCTGTTATATCCCAGTCGTCATTGCAGCATATTGCAGCCATTGTGCCGGAATCTCTTTGGTCTGGAAAATCTCATCTCGGAGGTAGTTTGGGAACTCGGCCATGCCGCTGATGGCCGCCACCAACCAACAATCCCCAATGCCTCCTGAAACCGATGAAGAACTCATCGAAGAAGGGGCCCAAAAAACGATGAGAAAAACCATACCCTCTGGTAAACTAACATAACTATGGAAAATCACAATTTTTAATGGGAAAATCCACTATTTCTATGGCCATTTTCAATAGCTATGTTTGTTTACCAGAGGGTAGATCTTCCCATGCAAGATGGCCATTGGGGTAAACGGACGAAAGATGATCATCCCATTATGGACCCAGTCCGTGTTTGAAGGTGACATATGTGGCGACTGGAATGTGTCGACGGGGGGAACGGGCAGGGCGGGTTGCCAATCTCGGCCTAGCCATCCCGTTTCACCACTATGAGAATCCCACCACGGGAGTCATCCTCAATCGGAGCTTCATGGCAACCCCACATAATCGTTTTGTTCGAAAAATGATCAACGCCAACTAGAAACAATGAGACAATCCATCACAATTCCCTAAAATATCCTAAAACCATCGCAGAAAAACCATCAGCTTTTGGGGCTTGGGATCTGCTCCAACCTGCTCGGAATCTGCTCGGAATCTCCTTGTCTCGAATCCCTTGGATCAACGTCCCCAAAGAGCTCCACTTTGCCCGGGGACTTCAGCTGGGACAACTCCAAGGCCCGCATCTAGGCGCCACAGCCATGACTTACTGCCGTGCGTGCGTTTTACGTATGGTTGCTGGATGGGTTGCCCTTTATGGGTTGCTGGGATGATGACACTAACCGTTTGTGAATCCTAGTGATGAAATGGATCATTCCCTCATTCATGATGATGATCAACCATGAGATTTTTTGGGCCCCGATGGGCCCCATATTCAACAAACTCAACAAACTCATACACTCCCAAAATCAGAAGGGACCCTTCGGAAGGCCCCACCTTGTGTCAAATTGTGGCTTTGCAAGTTGGGCCCGAAGGCCCCACATTTCTTTACGTTTCTTTAGCTTTCTGTCAAGTCCATCGTTCAGGTGTCAGAAGAAAATTGTGGCTGGCTTCTTACCTCCGTTTCTATTGCTCCTTTGCCGCTGCATTCAACATGTCACCTGTGATATCCTTTTGTGGATCCAGACACAAATGTGTCAACAAGTTTCACACTTGTTGATTCAGGAACTACGAAACGTAAGAAGATAACTGCGACTTTTTTAATTTGTTACCTTCATGAGCTCTCCATCATCCTAAGTCACTGATTCCAATCTCAATCCTGAAACTGATAGAATCTCATAATACCAAAGTAGTTCCATCCATTCAAAAAGGCACTGTCTCTGTCACAATCCGTCTCGCCGTCGAGCCACATATTCGGCTTGCTTTGTTGTCTCACTCCACACGCCCATCATTTTCATCTCCGAGAAATCCGGATCATGCCAGCCTGGCGCTACCTTTGAAAAAACGGAAGTCACAACGACCAGTGAATTTCACAACTTGACGACGAGTGACTCACTGACTAACTTATCGATGGCCAACACTCTTCACAAGATACAGTATATGGATTCAGTATGTGTATATATATATATAGTTATATATATATATAGTTATATATGTATATATATCATTATATGTAATCAAATGATTTTATATATATATACTGTATATACAGTGAAAAAAACAATATATAAAAACAATCCGAAGGGCTTCCGTGCGGCCCACAAAGTATCTTACGTTTCAACTAAGGGACCGATCGGAAATCCTCTTGATTCGGAGTTGTCCACTGTCGCACTTTTCCTGAGCGTCAAACTAAAGCGACGCGCTTAGGGTTTCTCAGGCGCAGGGAGGATGTCTACAACAAACAAGGAGGATAAGTGTAGAAACCTACCGTAGGATATCTACAACTTACAAACAAGTAGGATATGCGGTAGAGCACAAGCCGAGGTTTGAAAGATCGGAAAAAACGATGGAATTTTGGAGTGAAAGACAGTCTGCGTGATGCCCATGGCATGCCGCCAAAAAGCCCTGGTGTTTCCAGGTCGCTTTCGCTGGCGAATAGCACTCCGTCTCTTCGCTGGATGCAGAGTATGTGGAGTCTTCAAGGACGCCCTGATCACAGATCTTCCACCTGACGGCACAACGGATTTTTCCCAATATGGGAATGGGTCAAAACCTTGTACCCCTGGTGAACATCAAAATAGCTGGTAAATGGATGTTCATCCCACTAAAAATGGTATCTATAGGTATTGACCCATACCCATATGAAGTAATGTCATATACCGGACATTAGTGGACTCTGTGTTGGCAGCTTGATTTAAGACCCTTGAGATTTGAAACTGAAAGCAAAAAGCAAGTTAAAACTATCTGGACTCTGGACACATGTATATCATGTCTTTAGTTCATTTTAGTTCCCTCACCTGAGATGAGTTGTTTGACGCGAATGTCCTTCATTCCAAAAGCAGCACAAAGTGGCTAGGCCTAACATTCCCAAACTATGGAAGAAACCAATATTTTCTTTCATCTGTTTGTAGTTTCATCTACTTTCCCATTCCACTTTATTCCACTTGGAACACGTTGTCAGTGAGACACCCTGCCGATGGCCAACGATTGTTCCCAGGCCTTCCAGCGGTGTAGAAGAGATGCGAATCCATCCTGAGTGGAGTCGCTTTGGCCAAACCTCCGTGGAAGTGCTCCATATATTTGAAGTCTTCCAGATGTCTCAATGGTCTCAATACATATATATATATACTAAATATATATATATACACTATATATATATGTACATACTATATATGGACAGGCCTGCAGCCCCATCCCTGTCGTGGTCATGGTTCCAGTCCTGGTCATGGACTTCTCTCCCCGCCCCCCTGTGGAAATGGGGAAGGTCTCTTGGTCATCATCTATCCTTGTACGTATGTATGTGTGCACATGTGTATGCATGCATGCATGTAGGTATGTATGTATGTACGTATGTATGCATGCATGTATGTATGTTCTCGCCACCGCCAGACACTTGAGTGCTACACTAATAGATCTTCTCTTGTATTTGCACAGACACTTGAGGATAATTATAAAATCTTCTCTTGTACTTGCACACTTGCACAGACGCTTGGTGCTACATTAAAAGATCTTCCCTCGTACTTGCACAGACACTTGATGCTACGTTACAGGATGCTACATGCTGGGCTCGGCCTGGGGGACCATACCATTGGGGGGTAGCGGGCCGCCGACCGGGACCATATATAAGCGATTGTAAGCGGTTCTTTTTTGCTGTCACTGTGGCCTCATCATTCCGAAATTCAAATAGCCAGATTTGCTCTGTCCACTCTGTTCTGAAACTCTCTGAACACCATATTGAAGACCGCAGGAATATTTTCAGCTTGACAGATGCTAAGAAGAAGTCTTCCAAAATTCTTTCGATGAGATTCCCTTGAAACGTTTTTAGCGTTCCTCGCTATGCCCCGCTATTCCCAGTGTGCCAGCTTTTTGACCTTGCCGAGGCTCTCTTTTAAGGAACCATCGCGCTGCCTCCTTGGTGACAAAAATGACTTTCAGGTAATGCCACAACTGAAACCATGTTTTTTCATATGAATCATCGCTGGTTACAAGAGCATTTCGATAGAACACTGCTGTTGTTCCGCTTTGAACAAGCACATTCATATCAGCTGGAAAAAATCTGAATGTCACTGAAGATCATCCCAAATCACAAAAACCATCCTTCACGATCACAAAAACTATGTTGAAAATCCCCATGCGTGGCTATTTTTGGAGCTTTTTTATCCATGTGAAAACCTCCATTTTTCCACATGTTTCCACCATTTTTCCAGAAAAAGCATCTGCATCTTCCGATACACCGGACGTCCATTGAGGAGATCCTGGATCATCTGGATCATCTGGATCCGGAGGCCAGTTACTGTTAGTTAAAGCCAGTTAAAGCCATCAAAACCCCATGGAAAATGGGTGATTTTCCATAGGTATCTACGGTATGTTAGTCACAAACACCATGGTGTATGGTGTTTTCAAAGATGATTTTTCAAAAAACGATCTATCCATCTTCCATCATCTTCCCATCTCCGTCCCGTTTTTCATCTCCTGCGTTTTTCGCCACAATCCCAAGGCTTCAGCGCCTTCCTTAGTGCACATCTCCAGCTCCCAGGTCGAGGTCATTAGGTACTGTGGGGACAGCTGTGCAACCTACAACCAACTACAACCACAACCAACGGACAGGACTTTGTGCACATCGGCTTTAGTTGATCTTTGGAGCTCACAAAATAAAGCGAAAGGACAAGTTTCTCTCTGCATCTTGAAAAAAACTATTGCTAATCACTTCCCCTGAATATTGCCCCACGAAAACCTGAGTAACTATGGATCTTCATAGGGGTCCCATAGTTTGGGGGTCGCCCAATCGTCCCATTTTGTCGCTGTTTTGCCCATGGTCCACGGGGCATTCTGATTGATATGCCAACAGGGGAGCGGCCTCCAAACGCCTTGGAAGTTTGAACCCACCATATTTTGGGATGAACGGATGAACATGCGAGTTCCACCTGAAGCAGGGGGACAAGAAATCTACTAGATTTCACTGCAAAACGTCTATCATTCTGTAGTTGATAGCTCGGGATATGACAGTGCTCTGGTCTTGGGGCTGTTTGCAAAGGGGTGACTAGCGCGCTTCCCAAAGGGGAGTCCCATGGTTTATCACAATTTTCCCATTGAAATGAGCATTTGAGCAGGGCCAAATCCCCGTGTTGAGACAAAGCCTGCCATGGTCAGAAACTAAGGTGCAACATCCAAGTAGCTCTTCAGGGGTTGGAGGTGGACAAATGCACACGCCCATATCAGGTTCCTTCACGAAGCCTCAGCACCGGCGCGGCTCAGCTTGTTGTTGCGACCAGCTTCAAGAACGGCCAAAAGATCTGACAGTCCAGACACATCAACGGACCGTTTTGATTCAAAATTTGTTTTTGTGAATTCTGATGCCTAGACAGCTGCTAGACAGCTGCTAGACTGCTAGATGGTGATTTTGGTGATTGTTGAGAGCATCTCTCCAGGCTGGCACCCGGCACTGATGGGAGAAACGATACCAATTTTCCAAAGGGGTCTCGTGGAGCCCATCATCGCAGCATCTGAGATCTGACTTGACGGCGCTTTCCCAAGGGTTTGGGGGTCCCTCATGAAAAAAATACGTTACTTCGTGTGATCCCCACCATGACATTTATACATTTTGTTACTGGCAAATCTAACAACCCTCACCTGGCAGGTGGGGAAAAACAGCGACCAGCGGCTCTTTTTGCTGCTGTCCCACACTCCCCACACTTCGCTGGTGTCATAGCCTGCACAGTTGTTAAGTGAATTCAGTGCGAATGACCCAGCGCCGTTTGATCTCACCTGTTTGGCATCTGAAACTGGAGGATTTACAATGAACCCAATTTATGGATATGTTTTCATATTTCAACAAGTAAAAAGTGGAGGAATTAACCCAATTTATCGATGTATGTAGCAATTTGAATGAGGAACATGATGGCTGACCCATAGATTTGGAGTATACTTTGTACCCCATGTTCAAACAACATCATCATTTCAATGAGGTTCTATGAACTTCCTATCAAAATTTACTACGGGGCTGTCTGCTTCCCTTTTTCAAAACACCTTGGGATGCCCTGCCTACCACATGGACGGCTCGTTTTGTCTTCAAACGACAACTCGCATAGTTGCCGATCTTGTGATGAATCTGCCATTGCCCTCGCTTGCCGTGGTAGTACAAATACCTTGGCCAAGATATCAGATACAGAGGCTTCCCCCTCATTCAACATGAACCAATGTGTGGTCCATATGGAGATAGCTATGATAGCTATGATGGCTATGGCTATGATGGAGATGGGATTACACGAAAGGATGTGGCATATCCAGAACAAAGACACGAAAGGCAGGCTGAGGCACTTCTTGAGTTCAGCGCAGTAAAAGACTGGCCGCCGGCCATGAACCATACCTTGCCTCGGAAACCATGGTTTTTATACCGCAAAAAAATACGGATTTCCCGTGAATGTTCCCTTAAAACCAATCCAATCGTAGAATGGAAAGAAGAAAAGGGTGTTGGAATCGCTGTGTCTTGGAATCGCACATGAGTAGGTCGGATTCCGAAAGCCTGCATCTGTCATTTCACGTAGAAACTACCAGTGCTTATTCTTACCACTTGTCTTAGCTGTGGAAATCGTTGGCAACTTGGAGATGGTTTGAAAAGATCAGAAATCCTTCCTCGATGAGATAAAAATCTCAAAGTCATTCAAAGTCATAGAATGTCATGGATAAATTGAATTGACTATCGTAAACTATGACTATCATTTCCGAACTGGGCTACACATTCTGCCGACGGAATTTTCATGAATTCGGTAACCATCCCCCAAGGACGATCTGAACAATTCCAACGACTGACCCATCCCTATGAGTTGGGACGGGTTCGTTAAATCCCATATAAAAAAATCCCCAGAGAAATACACAATCCATTCATCCTGAGTTATACAGAGTTATGAAAATACTAGTCACATCATATAATTATATACAATACTCCATTAACACTGGCAGGTTAATAGCTATGAATCAGGTTAACCATCCATGATATTGTATATCCATGTATATCTGTATATCCCACTTGATTCCAATTCTTTTCCATTGACACTCCATGAAATCATCCTGTGTACCGGTTTTGACCATGGCTCATCTGCACGTACTCGCCATCGAACTCTTCCCAGCGAGAGCAACCTCTGGGATTCGAATCAGCACCGTCATTCATCCCAGATTCGAATGGAGAACCATGGGCATTCATTGGCTAAGTATTAATGGAACGCTGGAAGAATTGACAAAAGTATCAAAAGTGAAAATTCTACCAATATTAATATCTATTCATTCATGGGTTTTAAATTATTGGAAGGATCATAATGATACATCTTACATGAACTGGGCCCAATGAATAGATCCAATACGTTCCTCGTTCAAGATTAGGTGTAAAGGACTACTACTCCAGTATCATGTCATATTGCAATCCCATCATATTATTCGTTCAATTGGAGTAGGCTATCCATTCTCATGCGTGTTTATGCGTCAACGTGATAAAACCAATAACAAACCATTTCAATTATCAATCATTGTCAATTATTGGCTATTTCAATAACTATTTAAATAATGATGTTTAATTGACACTAATAACTATTTCAATTATCAGATCAATTTCGTGTCATTTTACATCATGTTCATCATCCCGACTAGGGACTAGGGGTATACCCAATACTAAACCAAAAGTGGGGATGGTTTCTTCTGCTTATCACATTGATCATTGATCATTGATCACTATCATTCACACTGAACAAAAAAAACATCTACGCATATCCAACCTAAGTTTTAGCAGGTTTCTTCTTATGTGTTTACCAACTTCTATTTTGGGGGGCACAAAAAAAAACTCTAAGTTGCGTTGATCTGTTTTGTTCACCGGTCCACCTGCAACCAGCAAGACCACGTCCTTCACAGCGCCTTTCACGGCGTTCACAGCACCTCCCAGGGTGGCAGAATCCTCTGCGAAGACCCAGCGGATGAATTCCTCCACCTACACGTACCGTTTGGACGTGTAGGTAAGACGTCGACGAATCCGCGAGATGTCTTTGGTAGTGACAATTTTTTGGGGACCTCCATAAACCAAATGGGTGGGGATTGGAGATATTGGAGATATGATTTTTGAGTGGGGATTTTGTTATGGAAATGTCATGGGATATCATGGGTGGATTTCTGACCAACAACTGGATGATTGGTAATTAAAAGTGCCAAGGATGGCCAAGCTAAAAAAAAGGGCACAATTTTGGCTGGAGAACTGATGCATCACGACTTGGTGTCTCCAACACACGGTTTCAACACTTGGCACAGGCCAAAACAAAAAAGTCACGAACCACGAGCTAATTGCCACTTCCAATGAATACAACATTTTGACTGAAAGCCAAAGTTCAAACTTGGCATTCCAATGTCACAAACAAATTCTGAACTAGCGTCTATGGTTTATGATCATTTCAGCATATCTTCCCAATATTTACCAAATATGGATTTGTCTTTTTTACGGTACCCAAATCGGGAAGTAGTAGGGGGGGTATGATTCGGGGTATGATTCGGGGGTATGATTCGGGATATGATTCGGGGTATGATTCGGGACAAGAATATAACATATCTAAATATGGTTAAGTATGAAAGTTTCATCTAAATGTATATACATATATATATATATATCATATCATATCATATCATATATCATCATATATCCATCCAGCAAGCACCCAGGCAGCAGCACCCAGCAGCCTCCCCATCCCAGCCAGCAGCCAGCCAGCCACAGCAGCACCCAGCCAGCAGCAAGCACGGTGAGAATAGGATAAGAATAGGGTGGGAATAGGATGACTCGGGGTTTGATTCGGAGGTATGATTCGAGGTGCCTCTACTTCTGCTCCCTTGAAAATGCTGAACCCACTAAACAAAAACATACTAATATAAGGATGAGTCAACTATATTTTACCAACGGAGCAATAGTTACAAAAAAGGTGATATCAAAATCATAAAAATAATCATAGTATAATCATAGAGTAAACCCCCATTTTTGGGGGTGCTCAAAAATCCGGTACCCAACGGTACCACCTATCTGCCGGGACCTGCAACTCTCCATCCATGCTGGAATCCGCTTCGCAGAGCAGCTGGTCGATGGATTCATCCGTCCAGGTGCCGTCCAGCGCCAACAGGACTTCGGCGAGTTCGTCACGGCTGATGGACCCCGACCTTCGATTGGTTGGAAAACTTCACCGGAAAGCCATGGATTTTTACATGTTTTTACCATCAAATAATATAGGGGGTTCCGGTGTAAATGTTCCCATCCAATTCTATGAGACCTTTCAAAGAAAATGTCAACGAAGAAAAAAAACTACTGGTGTAATCTGGTGAATGATGATTTCACCCAAAAAAATCACCTCTATTTTGAAGGATTTCACCTAAAAAAAAACTACTGGTGGATGGATATTAATATGTATCTGCATTATAATTATAATCATATTAACCCCCTAATTAACATGGACTTGAGGCCAGGGGGGAGGTACGAAAGCTAGCAGGATGCTACTAATGTTGTCCTGGAGACTGCTCAGCTGCAAGATTAAACTGATGAATTGATGACAATGATGGTGGGTAGGAATGAATTTGATGATAATGCTGATGATGCTATGATAATGATGATGACTCGTCGTCGACGACGACGACAATAATGATGATGAGAAAGATGAAAAAGAAAGCGAAGATAAAGACGTAGAAACTTGTACCTGCCCCAGTCTAACTGGAAAGTTTCGGGGTTTCCAACGGTCCTGGTGCCTGCCTATTCCTTGCTAAAGCAAGAGCACCTTCAGCCAGCACAAGCTAGCTTTCGTAATTAAATTAACCGCTATTTTCCGGGAAACACTGTCATAACGGGCAAGATGTCAGACTGGAAGCAAATACCAAATTCTAAATACATGGTCACATCCGTGACTTTTATAGATTCTCTGAATGCTTATGAAACTAAGATGGCTAAACCTGGCCAAACCTTCACATCATGTCACTACTTTTGTCACATCCGAGCGTCTGATCGGTATCAAACCGCGCAAAGGCTTCCAAGATCGGCTTGGACACTCCCGACATGGCACGTTCGCTGCACGGCACAAGACGGCGCCTCTTTGGGCATCTGGGAACCGAGCTGCAGAGATGAACCTGGAAGAATTTCGTAATCTCCGTGCCACCTGGGATTTATGGTGGATCTATGGAGGGTTTATGGAGGGTTTATGTCTCAAAAAGTCTCAAATCTCAATCTCCCAACGAATGGCGCTGGGGGGTTTACACTACCCCCCCTGTTTCACCAAACCCATGAGATATCTCATGTTCACGGTGCCTGGCCCGATAAACGCAGCCGCGGTATGCATTTGGAAATGCCTCAGATGTCTGAACGAAAGGGCTTCAACTGAGGGACTCTCTGAATTTTATCACACGCTTTGCCTCAAAAAAAGACAGATGGTCTGCGATTTGAAATATTTGAATTGACATAATCTGGCCATTAGAAAATTTGGACAACGCAAATGTCCACGGCACGGGGAAACGGGTTCCCCCCCCACCAAGGCCCTTGGCACTGCTCGGCGGCTTCCTGGGACGGACCGACCCACCCAATGGAATTCCATCTGCCATATGGCGCCATTGCCATGGTGATAAACTCACCATAAAATTTGACACTTATTCAGCAAGTCATAATATTTCATCGTAATTCCCATATTTCTTTCTAAGTCTTTATTTTAGCTGACTTAGAACATGTTTTAAAATGCCATAAAAACCGGAGATATAAGCGGAACATCTTGGAACGTCCAGGCCCTTCCATCCAAGGCTCATCTGAGGCAATGCCAATTCCAGCACCTCGAAGCAAATGTTTTCGCCTTCACCTCAAATCCGAAGCAAAGACGTCCACGACTCCGGTGAAAATATGTGTTTTTATGTGTTTTTATGGCGCATTTACCATCAATATACCATGGATTCATGGTATATTCTAAGAATGAAGATCAAAACTGTTGGATGGCCCCATTTTTTGGACCGACAAAGCCACACCAAAGTTTTTTTGCATTGCAATTGTTCAACAATCTGAGATCTCGACGATCACAATCCAACCAAAGGATCAGCAAATCGCATTGTCGTGCTTCCTCCGAGATGTGCCTCTGTCAGCTGTGGCAAGTCACGTCCCAAGAGCGATCCGTCGGTCAGGGTGTTTGAGAGTGAAAAATATTGAAAAATATTGAAAAATATTTAAAATAAGGTTTGGAGTTGCGAAGATGTTTCCTTTTCTGTCCACATTTCCCAGCAAAAATCATGTGGAAATCTTCAACTCTAAGCCGTCCACGTGGGAATGTTTGCTCGGGGGTCATAGGTGCGGACCGTCTGCGCGTTGAATAGAACATCTGGACCTTTTGAGCCGCTCCAATGCCGTCGAGGAAAGAGAATTTCCGTTCGGAAATGGTTGGTAAAACAACAAGTGGCGCTACTTGTTATGCAAAACGATGCACAAGCCCAAAGCAAAAAAAACTCTGTAAGTTTTTGACTGCAAAGTAGTTTATTGTAAGGTGCTCAGAGTATCCTCTTGGCTACAAAATGGTGATGTCTCAATCCTGTGATTGACGCTAAGAGCTCAGCTGTGCATCTCCCAGTTGTTGTACTCCTGTCCAGAGTTCAACGTTTTTGGTTTCTCTATCGGTGGCCGTGTCTGAATGTGGTACCCCAAACTTGACCAAAAATCATGGTGAAAATCATGGTGAAAATGATGAGAAGTGAAAATCCGCAAGGGTTTTTTTGCTGTGCACGATTTGAGACAAACCCAAATATCATATTGCTGGCAGTTTTTGGTCCATGAAATCCATGATATGCCTATTTGATGGGTTAAAACCCCAAGTTTCATCGGAGATCTCCGTCCTGGCTGAAGTCTAGGGAGTAGATGTGTCCAGTGGTCGCAGTGACCCGAAACCTGTGCAGCACAGCAGCACGACCGTTTTGCCCTTCGCACTTACGGTTGTGATATGTTGTAATGTTAGATGATTTATATCGATGATTGATGACTGTTTGATGATTAATCAAGAAGTTAATGTCCCGTGGTTTCTTAATGAGGTTTCATGATTTGCATATTCTTTTTTCGTGTTTTATGGTGACTATAGTGGCTCTGTTTTTGATGCTTCGGTGCCCAAAAAAATGTGGGGACCGGGATCCCCAAACCGTTTCCACGACGCACCACCGGTGTTCCCATCGCCTACTGGGATGACCTGGGTACACCGAGAAACAGAATCTCCGTTGACCGAGCAACACGTCAATCCTGCTGATCTAAGAAATTGGCCCATGAAGTTGCCACGGTACTCATAGACCTCACCAAAAAAACGCTGCCAAAGAAGGTTGACTAAGGTGTATGTATATATATATATATTAGTAATATGATGTAATATGTATACCAAAATTGGCAAACAAATCTGGCAAACAAGTGTAACAAGAGCGAGCCAGTGCCACGCTGACATCAAAAATCGTTTCTGAAACGGCGATGAAAATGTGAAGTGCCACGATGAATCGACGAGTCACCGGTGAACTGGGAGACATCCCTTTCCGCTTCTGCGCACCACTCTGCGGTGGGCATAGCGCCTCCATCCACTGAATCCAATGGAAAAAAAATCCACATGTTCCCTGTATCATCCAGTAGTAAATTAGCTAAGGGAAAGTATCCCCAGCATCCAAAGGTGGTAGTCCTACAGCGGAACCACCGGAAGCTGCAGCGAACCTTCAACTGGTCTGAGACCCCGAAGCTATCGCGGTTGGGGAAAAACCGAATTCTACTTGCCATAGCACAGGATGATATGACACTTTATCTCCAATCACATTAATATCGGATGTTTTCCTAATATGAATGACCCGTGAACCATAAACCGGCATCTTCCCATGAGAAAATACCGTCCTGATTTTTTGTTCCCTATTAAAATATAGATGTTTTAAAACCGATTTTCCACATCCTCATACATTGGTTCTATGTCGACGATATTTCGTATTCTTGTGGCTGGCTATATAAATCCACATAGTAAGAGTTAAGTTAAATCCGCATGCCATCAAAAACAAACAAAAGCAACATAACAATTGTTGTTTTGTTTTACGATTTTAAGATGTTATGCACATATCCCCATAATATCCCGACTGACGTGAACACCATACTTCAGAATATCTCCATAGTCCCCAAGATATCTGATGATTTTTTCATGATGGATCTCCAAAACCCAATACAATCCCTTCCCAAAGTAAGTTATACACCCAGTAACTGGATTGCTCATTTTGCGTTGCGCTACATGGCTATACAAATGTACTCGATACTAAAAGGATAGGACTATAGGACTCCATATCTCAGAAAATCACCCTCTGGTACTGACTAGCAACATTGCGAACTTGAAAATCATAGTTGATTTACCATAGTTATTGGTATCATAGTTGATTTACCATAGTTATTGTTACTGGTAATAGGTTTCATAGTTGATTTACCTATTAGAAATGGTGATTTTCCATAGTTATGTAACAGATTACCAGAGGGTAAATCAAAGAAAATCACCCCATTTTTGGGTGACAAATTGGACCAGTGCCTCCGTCAAAGTGGCGGCAATGGAGGGCTTCTCTGCCACCATCAAAATCTGACGATGCGACGCGATGCGACGCGACGCAAATTTTGGGATGCCAAGATCTAAGATCCGGGGAGTTGTTGATAGAAAAATACTGGTTGATACTCACAAAAAGAAATCAAAAAACAATTTGGCTGGATGTGATGATAATACAACGAATGAACGAAGTGTTTGACTGAAAAAATAACAACCAAGAAAATGCGAAATAGGGGGTATAAAATAAAAACCAACCACAAATTGTGGGGATAATTATGATAATTGATGGGCATGTTTGAGATTCTTGCACGGAAATCATATGACACGGGTTTCTCAAAATGATGGATTTACATCGATTTATATGGGTATGGATCAATACCTATTAATACCATTTTTAATGGGATGAACATCCATTTACCAGCTATTTTGATGTTCACCAGGGGTACAAGGTTTTGACACACTGCCATATCTATTCAATGAGTCTAATGAGGCCATTTCGACTGGGGACAATGATCATAAACCATGCGATGGAATGAGGTGCCCGATTTTGAGAAGAAACAAACGTGACATAACGCGACACGTGTCTGACGGCTGTCTTCGAGAACGTTTCACAAGAAGCGTATCTCAAACTACTACCGGAAATTTGACCATGTTCAACCGTATCATCAAACCTATTCACTGACTGCCCAAACATGTTTAACATTGTTTAACTGTTTTACCTCAGGTTGCTGTCACCAGTCAATCCGTGTCCAGTTACACTACTCGCTGTGTTGGAAAACAATATTTCTCCGAGACTCCAACCAAGAGTTCAGCCATTGCAAATGACACACATTCACAGCATTCACATGAAAAAAGCCCAGTTGTTGGAAACATTTTTTACCCTCTGCAGATGAGAGTGTTGCCGCTGAAAAGTCACATTCGTGGCAGAAAAACCTAGCACCATTCACCATTCCTCAAGTCATTGCAGAGTCTGATTCCGTGGTTTTGAGCCACCAAAACTCTGGAGAAAGGCGTCATGCTGTAGCTGGAGATGGATATGTTGGAGATACTAGTATAGCAATGTATAGCAGGTTATCATAAGGGGATTTACCAAGTTCTGCAAGTTCTGCAAAAACGCTGATAATTTAATAACAGTCAGAATATAAACAACATACTTTTCCAACAATGCCAAAATGTCGCGCTATATATTATTTATATAGCCAACAATGTAACTGAATTAATCGGGACAAATGGGTGTGCAGCAAGCGAGAAGTTTGGAAATGGGGGCATGAAACCAACCAGTTTATGAGGATATAATGAGGGATATGTTGGTTTACTACCAGCACCATGCCCATTTTTGCGGGGGAGTCCAATTTATGGCAACCAATAAATGGGGGAATGAGGCTATTGAAGAAGTAGATTCTGGGTCCCATCATTTTCAAAGCCGCTGGCTGGAAATCCACCGGGGAAACGATTTATCCGCGGTCACCCCATCTCGACACGAAAACAACGCCC